AGTACAACGCATTTATGTTTGGTTTTTGTGTTGTTTTGGGATTGTATTATTGTTTTCATTTAATGTTCATATTGAAATTAAGCAATGAATATTTTTAACATATATATTTTTATGATTATGATTTTATATCAAGCGAAATGAGAAATCCATTATCTTGCCGGTTGTTTTATTTTTCTGGAAATCTGGTCAATCACTAGCAATAATTTAAATCCTTCCTTTCATTATAGCTTTAATGGGCAAAAATACATTTTCTTCTTTTCTCAAATTGCAGTGCTTCTGGACTTCCCTGGCTTTTGAGAACGAATCTTACTGCTGTTCAACCTTTTAAATTCGATTTAAAAAACATTATAGCTCGAGCACACATAACACAATCAAGTTGAAACTAGATTTTCTGATTTGCCCGGAGCGAGGACAACTTTTGAACTTGTCAACTTGCTATTGCAAACTTTGCGGCTAGTCATCCATCTAATGTCCTTGGATTAATGTGCAATTAAATCACGATTTAATTGGTTGGCCAAGGAGCACTGCAGCGAGGAGAGGCACCAGTTGGGAGCGGTTCGCGGGAGGCTGGGGGCTTGATCTGCGGATGCATTTCATTTGGACAGGGGCCCGACAAAGACAATACGGAGGGTCTACGCAGTGCTTTGGCCCGTTTACGCAACAGAACGGGCCCCTCTCTTCCACAACAACCCACCCCGCCGGCCTCACCCCTGCACCTCGCCAGCACCAACAGCCACAGCCTCGCCCAGAACCACAGCCACGCCCACATCTCCGAAAGAGGCGTCAGCAGGTGCGCCAGCTATTGCCAGGAGTCCTCGAATAATTCCGCAGCCGCTGTTCCAAAGCCAAGTGAAGCGGGAAAACAAACCGCATCATCTGTAGGATCAGGAAAAGGACCTGCCGCAGACGGTAGCCACATCAATGGCCTCGCCCATCATGTAAGTACGCATTCGCTATTCCACAGATGCGCAGTACGAAAGCCAAGCTCCCGACATGCATCTACTGCTATAAATGTACCATATATATCCGTAGTCGTATCTTGGGCAGGTAACCACCGCTAAGAGGGAGCTGCTATCGCTGTAATACTTGTATCTTATACCTGACACCGCATATCTCCTAATAGTGCACCGCAAGCTTGAACAATCCGAAATTGCAGCAACCGCATTGTTAGATATGTAAATATGTGAACATGGAAAATTTGATTTCTTACTGGCGAATAGCTTCCTTCGGGAATAGAAAAGATAAACGTTGTGCAAACATAACTATAAAACGATTTATGTTTTAAATCCAGTGAGACTACAAAACCAATCAATTTTTAAGAGCATTTACGTTTCCTAACAAAACAAAATGCAATGGAAACTGATATTTAAAAAATAAAATTCACTTTAAATTGTCTTCCTGAACAAATTTTTTCTTATTTTTGTTATACAAATCAGACAGATATTTTCTTGACGGTTTAGAGCGAACACCTTGACAATTATTCAGTTTCTTATTAATTTTTGTAATGCATTTTTAGGCATAACAACATGGGTATTAATTTTTCTTTTTCACTTATTATTTAAGAGAGAAGTTATAGCTATTAAAGTTTTAGTAAAACGATCTGCCACTTGGCTCAGCTTTGAACTACCATTTCGGTCAGGTCTTAACAGCTCTCAGAAATTTCGTGACAGTCTCGTTATTGGTAATTCGATTTGCATTCACTTCACATTATGTGGGCCGAAATTGGTTTACCCTGGGCGGAGCACGTGAGTTGGGCCCAATAAAAAGGGCATTTTCGAAAACAACGACACCAACTTAATTGCGTAACAACATTTTACCATTAGACTTAATTAAATCGTCAACTGAAAAGCGTTCGTTGAAAATAACTGCTATTGGAAAAGGAATCTGCTTTAGAATAGGGGACAAAACCAGCATGAAAATAGAGTGAGACTCTTGATTTGGTTGGCACATACTAATGAATTTTAATGAGAAGCAATGTGGATTTTTGGATTGCATTTAATGTGATTGCATGCACTGAAATTACCACCTAGGATGAAGCAAGTTAATTAGGATTGTCATGGCAAATACAGGCACCGTATTATTTTGCAAAACATGCCGCACAGACGGTAGATGGGAGCCACAGATTGTGGGTGACATCTGCCGCGTTTGGCAAACAAATTCCCCGCCATGGCCAAAAACAGAGCATTTTTGGCCACAAGCCACGCAAAACCGTTGATATAAGTGACTCGGTCGGTCTAGCAATTGTATGAGGTCTGTTAAGTGCAAATATTGGACAATTTACCAAGCCTCCTGTTCATCAGCCCGAAACTTTGGTTATTGGACAGCATCAGCCAGAGGACGGCATCCCTTGCCAATTTGTAAAGCTTTTTGGGCCGGCCAAGAGGATTAAGGCAACAATATTTGGCCCTCGGCTCTGCCTTTTGTTGCTTCTTGGCTTGCCAGTTCAAATTAAAGTGTTGAAAGGATTTACTCGGCGGCTTAATTAAACGCAATTATAATAATGTTGACGCTCGTCTGTTGTTCCATTTCCATTGTTATTGCCGGGGAGTTAGAAAACACTTACACAATTTTAATTTATTTTTGTTGAAGTGAAAACAAGGGTAACTCTTTGGGCATAATGAATATTGAGTGGCGCTTGTGGTAAACTTAATATAACTGGAACTGGAAAACTGTGCAATGTTAAGAGTGCAATTTCAATTAGTCCTCCGAAACTTTGGCTTGCATTTGAGGTGAAAGTAGTGATTTCGACAGCCTCTCTATTAGTTTAATTACAACTGATGTCACAGAACCGCAATCTGTTTTCGGGCAAATTCTATTTGTAAATAATTTATGAATTGGAGCACGATATCGCAACCAGCAATCAACCCTGACAGTTTGGCATTGAAGAACTATATATACCTGCAACTTCTCATCCGCAATCATCCTTGCCTGCTGCACACTTTTCACCCAGAAATGTCAGAATGGGGCTTGGTGTTAAAGGGGTTGTTTCCGCCAAGTAAAGACATTTACCGAGTGCTCACTCTGCTCAGGTAACTGGTCTGATTGATTTGATTGCCGTCACCTCTGTGGGCTGACAGCCAGACTAACATATTCGAAAACATATTCGGATGAGCCACTTTGTCCCAGCGAATTTGTCAGCTCTCGTTTGAGGTCTTCGCCATGACAGATGGATACGCTTAAATGTTGATGTATTTTGGGGTAATCCTCCTGGTTCAATTTAAGCCACTTACCCTCAGGGGTAAATGTTCATAATTTTTCATTTCCCCCAGTGCCATTAATTTCCCATTAAGTTAAACGCAGCTGAATTTGCATACATCCATAACCGGTGTCTCGGCTCTTGGTTTTTCCTGGGTGAATCGGTTAAAATGCAATTATCGGGGGAAGTTGCAATCTGATGACACTCCCTTTTTGGCCGGAAATCGAATTGATTTGCCGGTTGGGCAGACCGGTAAAGCAAAAACCACACGAAGGGCAGGTGGATCGAACCCATTGGAAGATTTATGGCTATGAATTGAGGCTTATTGAATATGTATAAATGTGTACGTGTAACCGGTGGTCCGAGACTCGCATAATTGACGGCCCATTAGACGGTAATGCAAAAAAATTGATGCCCTGCCTTGGCAGACCGTTCTTCCCTCTGTCGGAAATTGAATTTTATAAACTTTCTAAGGACGAAGCAGCGGAGAGCTGGAGTTGAGTTTCTAGGCAGCAATTAGTCCTTTTTAAGAGGATGGCGATGGGGTGGTAGGGGGTGGTAGATCGGCCAACAGAAGCTACGTGCCATGCGTCAGCTGGAAGAACGGAAACCGAAAAGTTTGTTTATGCTTAGAATTTTTAGCTCGGCCGTGGCAGTTGGGAACAGACCATCATGTAGCTCTGGCTTCGACTGCTGCTGTCATTCGAGTGTTTTAATCAATTCTGATTTAATTTTACGCCCAATTAAGTGTGAAAAGCGTTTGATGTCGAGCATTTGGGTGCGAGAAGCAAATGGCGACGGAATACTCCCCCCCACCCCCCTCGAGTTTTCCGACCAGTCACGCAAGCGTGAGCATTGAATACGCCATATGTGAGGGGGTGGTGGGTGGTGGGTGGCCTTTGTTCGCCTCCAAGGTTCCCAAGTTAACTTCGGCCTTAGGGTTCGGGGTTCATTTGGTTCGCAGCACTCGCACTAGAATAAAGGCATTTTTAGATGTATTTTGAATATGTGTGCCAGCTTGAGAGCTGGAGACACTCACCGCCGCTTGTGTATCCCTGCCGTGGCTTCCGCACTTGCTCACCACCCCTTGCTTATCCTCCTCACCTTTTTGCTAGTCCTGCCTACCTGCCTACTTGCCTGCCTGCCTGTGTTTCTCCCTGTGTACTCTCTAACCATGGAACAACTTTCTTCTTATGACAGAGACAGACGTGGCATATAGTTCCGCCAACCATTATCCAATAATCTCTACCAACAGCCACGGCCGAGCCGCTCCTCCAGTTTCAACGCCAGGCTAAGTCTGTTGGAGAGTTTAGTCTGCATGACTGCCGATCCCATATCGTTGTGCTTTTGGATTTGTTTGCAGGTAACGACCATGACTTCAAAACACCTCAATAAGCTCAATTAATAATTCGTTTTACAATATAGTCATTCAAGATTACTTTGATCTAAATATAAATATAAATAAATGTGTTTACCCTAAATTCTTTGATAAAATTTAAATACGCCATCTGAAATCTAGCCTGATTCAAATGTATATGTTTTAAATATATTTACCAGAAGGAGCTCTTGGACGTTAAAGACTTCCACTCCTGATGGCCCTTCAGGAGCCATAAATCCTTGTCGAGGAGTGTGAAGTGAATTGTAGTCATAAAACAATTTTCTTGTACATTTACGATACCACAAAACACGACAGACAAAGGCATAAAGAAATGTAAGGAGTGTCGGAAAGCACTTGACAATTTTTCCCGCATTATAATTAACCCAAACTCGGCAAAAATCCTTTTTGACTAAATGTGTTATATACTTTATTTTGGATTTTCATTTATTACTTATATAAATCGATTTTTGTACACATAAATTTCGATTTACATGGCAGTTAATTTTGGGGTTTTGGAGATTGTCGTAAGGCTAGACACGTTTAATTGAGTGGTGTTACACTTTTTCCCCCTCCATCACTTTTTCGGAGGGGTATTCGCATGTGTGATAGTGTGATAGTGTGTTATGTGCTTGTGTGTTAACTTAGTTGTCAAAGACGGCTGTCTTTTCATAGACGAGTGTAAGCTAATTAAAAATAGTATTTCGTTGTAGTAGCAATTTCCCACCTTGCTGCTGTCCTTAAATGAATGAGTTGTGTGTGCGAATGTGTCAGTTTATATAGGGTGGGTAGTGCGTACCTAACCAGACTGTACCTACTACCTACACTTTGAAATTTAGCACACGCTTTTCTGTTGACTGAGGACTGTTCATTTTACTTTCAACGTGTGCTTATTATTGGGTCGTGTACGTTGTGGGTAAATTGGTGAGGATGAACATGCTTGGATTGCATCAACTGGGTAAACTAATCTTAACTGATAACTTAGAACTAACTGAAATTACACTGGCGTTTCGTGGTCCGAACATAATGCCAAATAATTCGTCCGGAAATCAGCCGCGGTGCTGCCTATTCGTTGTTAAACTCACCATTTAGAGTTACAATTTTGATGTACATAATTTCAATACTTTTTTGTGGAAATTTTGCAACTCTTAATTTTTTTTTCCTTTAGAAATTTTATCTTCATGAATGTTGCATATTAATAAAATATTTTGAAATTCGTAACGTAATTTTGACAGATTGAAGAAGCCGAAAATAAAGTGAAACGCGAAACGAATAGATTCTTTTATTTTTAACACCAAACGCTGGCCCTGATCGAAATCCCATTGTCTTGGCCGGCGTTTCAGGCAGTAGGTATGGGTTTGAGCTTCCCAACTTTCTGGCCTGTACGAAACAGTTTTAGCGTATAAAAAATAAAGATATCGAGGGGTAGAGAGATTATGACGAGGTCTAAAAACTAATTCCTTAGTGGTTGCGTTGCGCCTACGTCGAGCAATCGAAGAGTAACCCATGGCGGCGAAGAACATGCCCTCCATGAATTGACAGTTTTCGTTGCTCGCGCACTTTTTTCGAGCTGTCTTTTTCTAATTGCAGTCTTACGATTATCATTTTTATCATTTTTTTTTTTTGGTTGACCGTAGCCTCGGTTCTGTTTTCTCAAATGATCAGATCCCTCTCCACGTCGAGGCCCCCGATCTTGGATTTTTTGGATGGGTGTCGGTGTTGTCAATATCGACGCTCGAGTCGTTGTTTGTGTGTGTCTGTGGTGTTTGTGTGTGTGTGAGACGGGTCCGGTTTTGGGTGCCCGGTGGGGTGGCGGTAGGTGGGCGGACCACCCCATGCCGGGCACTTCCCATGTGGCGAGCTGCACTTAGTAGACAATCAGCAGGTTGTTCTCATTGAATCCAGCCGAGTGACCGGCGTTGCGTACAATGAAACAGGATCCGTCGAAGTGCATGCGTTTCTCATTACGACTGCAAGGTAATGGGGAGAACAATGAGTTGTTAGTAAGAAGGAAAGAACGGATAAAAAAAACCTTTATTTACAAACATAACATACTTGCTAATATATTGCTCTCAATGAAAATAAGGTCCTGGAGAAAGTTGCAAACAAAAGGGTTTGACTAGTTTGCTGAAAAACAGACAGACTTATTCCCTTCTCGCCATCCCACACTATTTTACTTGTAAAAAAAGTAAGTCTAGTTCCTCTTTTATTAGAGCACCTTTGTTTTGTTTAATCAACAACAAAATTTACATGCCTCCAATAGATGGAGTCAACTATTCTAACACCATAAAACCGAAAGCGTCATCTGTTGTAGAAAAAATACTTGATCTGAACCTAAATCGGACTGCTTGCAATTACAACACTGATTATGCTATTTTAATAGCTTCTTACATAATTATTCGACTTTAAAATTTGTTTGGTTTGTTGATAGATACATCTAAATTGTTTTTACTGAATTTTGCGGTTTGTGGGCGTTTAGTCAAGCCCTTCATAAAGTTCATAAGACACAATCAATGTTAAATTAAACAAATATATATTAATATGTTTGTTTTTGATTAGTCCTATGATCAAAGGGGAATCTTTGCTTAAGTGCCTGATTGGAAGAAACAAATTGCGATGCAAAGGGCAGTGGCTGACTCACCGGACGAACAGGTGCGAAGTCTTTCCCAGCGAAGCCGTGCAGTGAATGCCGGGCGTGGTCAGGGTGGCCGATCCGTTGCTGGGACTGGTGCGAATCAGGCACTTGTTGTGCTGGCGAGTGACCTTCACCAGGCCGTCGGCCGCCTGTGTGATGCGGAATCCGTTGATATCGTACACCTCGCTGCCGTCCTCGGCGCAGTTGTAGGTGGAGTTGGCGATTACCTCGTAGGCATCCGCCATAAAGGACGGACCGTGACGAGAGTCGCTGCGGAGCGTTGATTAGAAAGAGGAGCTCGGCGAATCGATTTTGGCAATCTGGTCTTGGGCGGGATATACTCACTCGTAGAACACAGCCAGGGTGTAGTCCTTTGTCAGGTCGGTAAAGGTGTCCGTGGTGGTGCGCGTGCCAGCTGTGTCCACCAAATAGATGAGAGCGCAGGACTCGCTGGTGAAGCTGACGCCCTTGTACCACATTTTGGCATAGCGACTGTAAAGAGTAAAGAGGACTTTAGTTGGGCTTTTATTCATTGCTCGATTGCACAGCAATCTGCCTATTGGAATGTTTTTATAAATGTTTCTATATTACAACCATTTATAAAAAAACATACAAATTTACTAAGAACAAAAATAATTGAAATCGGGAAATTTCAGTTTTTGATTTTGTGTCGAATTTTTTTATTCTCAAACTAGCTAATAGAGGTTAAAAACCTGAAAACATCAGTGTCCCAAAATTCTGGTTTATGATTTAAAACCGGAAAAGCTTATGAACAGAGGTTTTAAAATTGGAAAAAAACTAGTGATGTAATTGTAACAAAAATGTAATAATTGATTTGAATATCGATACTTACGAATATAATATCGATATCCAAATGAATTACTAAAACGACTCTTAAAAACTTCCTGCGTAAAAAGTTTACCAAGCGAAACTTACACAAAGTTATTGGCCTTCATTCCATCAAAGGTGACGATCTCCACCTTGGAGCCGCTTTGCAGAACGCGTCCATTGGGATGGATGAGGGCCGAGTTGCTGCAGTTGCGCGACAAAGCGACGGCCACCATGCTGCGCTGGTTGAGCACGCGCACAGCCTTGTCCAGGGTCATGTCAATGCTGTAAGGGATTTGTTTTATTCGTTTTATTTGTTTTATAGTGACTTATTGTAGCTTTCCACTCCACCCACCGAACACCTTCGCGCAGGCGCAGCTGGATGGTGCCGTTGGTCATGGCAATGGGTCCTGATCCGGGGCACGGCGGCGGTGTGTTGTTGTCGAACTCGAAGGTGCGCGAGCTGACGCGACCCAGGGCGTATGGTGGCGGCGGCATTGGCGACGGGAACTGCTGGGTGTGGTGCGCCTGTGGCTGAGCAATTGGAATTTACTTTAAGAATTTAGATGGCAGGTAATGAAAGAAGGGCACCCACCACACAATAGGCTCCTTCAGCATCATAGCCAAAGCTGGAGTTGTAGCGTCCTGTCAGACTCTTGCCGCTGCGCGTGATGTTGCCGGCATCCAGCTCCATGCCCACGGCCTCGAAGCCAGAAGCCACCTGGGGAATGGTGCCGAATGGCGAGTGCGAGGACGGATGAACGCCCAGGTGCATAAAGGGGCGGGCACTGGTGCTCGTCTGGCTGGAGCACTCCTTGGCCAGGACGGCGGTGCTGGTGCCCACGCTGGCGCTGTTTCCCAGGCTGCTGCTGCTGCCACGCTCCAATCCTCGCTCCAGGCCCCGCCTCACGCCGCTCACGCTGCCGGCACTTAGCGACAAGCTGCTCATACGGGAGCCCAGCTGGCCGCTCATCGAAGGCACAAGGCGCATGGTGGGTTGCTAAGGGTTAGGAGAGGAAAGGATGTAAGGATGATCTGCAGATAATTCTAATAGTTAGTTTTGTACTTAGAATTTTAGGCTGAACTCCTAGAGCTTACGTTAAGCCGCATAGAACGATCCTTAACATTCAATTTTAAAAATTTGTATTAAAATGATCTACCAGTGTTCATTATATATTATATATCATATTAGCTTTTAAATAGATAAATGTTTCGGAGCATTGTGAAGATGTAGCATTTTATTGTTTAGCGTGACGCCAACTCGATATAAAGTTATATTTCTTTCCTTCTGTCTTTCTTTCTTTCTAATACTTCTACTTAGGGATAACCCTAACAGGGGTGTTAGGGTTGTTGCCTCTAGGGCAACCTGCCTGTTTCCTTCCTTTCAGAAAATTAATGTTAAAGTTTATAGCGGTACTGTTATAGAGCTATGACAGGCGTGGCCACAACTTAATTGCACTAAAGCAAACGATAAGTATTTTTGAGAATTTGGCTTACTCCGCTGTGTCCTTGAATACAGCTACATATTTTCGCATACATTTTTGCCAAAATAATTTGGATGTGTCAAAAAGTGACAGGTGAGGACTATATTTTCAGTCCTCATCTGTCACTTCAGCAATGACAATGCTAATTCTAGGTGAAAATTTATTGAAAATGGCAGGGCAACTCTTCTCACCGGCGACGGGCTGTTGTTGGTGTAGACGGAGCGCTGGCGCACCCCGTTGGGCGCCTTGGTGGGCGAGCGAAGGATGTTGTTGATCTTGTCGTTCATCTGGGCACGGGACAAGAAGTCCTCGGCGTTGAAGATGCCCACACGGCTGCTTTTCGGGGTGGTCACTGGCACTGGGGCTGGAGCAGTCGGCTCCTCCTGCGGCTCATCGCAGCCGGTTTCCTGGCACTGCACCTCCTTGCTGGTGCTGGTCTTGGGTGGCACGGTGTCCTGCGAGTCGGTGACCATCTTGTTTAGCTTCTCGTACGGATTTGCAATTGGTGGACAGTGAACAGTGGGCAGTGAACAGTGAACAGTGAAGTGGTGTGGGACTGCTGTACTGTGTGCTTTGGTGGACCCGGGCCTGGACTTGGTTGGTATCTGGATCTAAACGAGAACGGCACACGCGCGTGCTGGTTGCAAAAATCAAGTACTCTGCTCGACACGGAACACAACGACTCAATGAGAGGAATTTAATTTTTATTTTTTATTACTTTTCAAGAGCTCTGCTCGCTGCGACAATTTTTGAAAGAATGACTCGCCACATCTGCTGTTCGAGGAATGTGCCATCGATTCTGACAGTCTGTCGCCTACCAAGTTTTCGATAGGTGAAAGTGCGATGCTATCGAGTACTTTCTATTGCAATATATTGGTCAGTATATGCGGAAACCCTTTTTTTTCAGGATGCCAGTTTAAGTTCCGCCCAGTGTTGCATACTTTTAGACGGCAAAAAGTTTATTGAATTCAAAATAACGCATTTAGCGACGAAAGTGTTGGATGAGTTTTAACTGCAACCGACAAGGGGCTTTTAGAGTCCGGAAAACCAAGTTTGCCGGCATAAAAGTCAGGCCCAGGCCCTCGGCCCACTTAATTGAATTGAGCAATAGACTTGAACACAGCAGCGTTCCTGCGCAATTTATTGCTGCACTTTTGTACAGTTTCTCCCATCTGTAAGCAGCTCAAAGAGGCTCAGGCCTTTAGGTCTTATTGGCAAATTGCATTCACCTAGGAGGGAAGTAAAAGAAGAAATTGCACTTTCCCTCATTGAACTGCTCATTTTTGTTCAATGCCGGAATGGCGATGAAAAAATGAGACTAAAAAACTTCTGAAGAACTCGTAGGAAATGTCACGAGTCCCATAAAAGTTATGTTGGAACGTGAGCATCTGTCTTTGCCAAACACAAATAAAATATAACTGAATACATATCCTTCGATCCAATTGAAATAGTACATTCAAGAGCATTTTTAAAAAGACACATCTTCGTTTAACATATTCGAAAGCAAGGAGAAATTTGAAAACAGGGTGAGGCGTGACCTTGTCTGATTTCTATGCCAACTTTTATATACTTTGACAGTCTAAGACTGTTTATTGCATTTATTAACAATAAATAATAACAATCATTCTGTTATTTCTGTGCAATAGTTTGACTTTCGCTTCAGTTCCTTCATCAGTATCTCGCATCTATATCTGCCTGAATGTTGACAAATTCACAAAAATATTGGCAAATCCCCAAGGTCGTTTAATCTTGTTTTTGCTGAGTTTGGTTTTCGGTTTTTGTGCTTTGTGGGTTCACTAACTCACCTTCGGAGTGAAAGGACCCTGAACTTCCGAATCCATTGTGTTTTGGTCCGACTGTCAACTCTTTCCGCTGGCATTCCCATGATTGATTTTGGCTTTCGCTTTTTCTGCGGGGAATAGTTTGCTTAATGAGCGCATTGACTCCTTGCATTTGGCCATCGGCCCACGCAAATTTAGATAGTCACTTTCGCCATCATTTCTATTTCAATTGACGCGTTTATTTGGCTGGCCGACATGTTTGCATTTTATTTTTGGCGCTGACGGGTCATTAAAAATCTGCCACTGCAGCTGCACTTCCTCCCACGCATCGCATTGACTCAGTTTTGAGCACTGAGCACTGGCTGAAAGTGAAAACGAGAAAAAGAACAAGTTTAATGTATTTATAGCAGGAATGCAACTGCATATGCATTCAATGAAATACGGAAACTCATTTGTAAAAAGCACCCATTTCACCCCGCTTGTTTTTCCGTTGTCACTTTCGCCAGCCGCAAGCGAACAAATTGGTTAGCCTCCTTTTTCAGTATTTATTGTTCGTATTGTGAATTTTCATTCGCGAAAATGCAAATTTGTCGACAGGCTGCTGAAATTTCGGTTGTGTGGGCGCGTTGGCAAAATAGTTTGCTGAGGCTGGATTTTAGTTATAATTGCGGCCGATTTATTGGCTTGGAATCATGTTTGCCAAATTTTAATTAGCTTGAGTCCATAATGAAATTACAATTACACAAAAAACACAAGCGAAGTGAATTCAGCAGTTCTCTATTATTTGCTAAAGCTCATTTAAATATGGAAAACTATTTTCGTGGTCGGCTGACTGAGCAGAGTGCCAGTGAACCTTAAGCGCAGACAAAGATGATAAAAATCAGGTATATATATACACGAGTATATAGACAAAATGCATTCGACTTGCCCTGTGTTGCAATCTTTGACGTCATCGTTGTGGTAGTGACCACTCAAAATGATGAAAAACGTATGGCATAATTGAAATGGATTTTAAAATCCATTTGTTGTGCCTTCCTTATTAAATCCTTAGCAATTTTCATTAAAAACAATTATCACCAGCGACGCCACTTTCTCTTTGTCGACGCCAGGAGTTTTCCCGGGGTGACGGGAAATGCTCGGAAATTAATTGATTGTCAAGATGAGGCAACGGCAACGGCAGCGCTACGGCAACCGAGCTGTGTAAACAAATAAATGTGTCTGGTCATTCAGCGGGAGATCTTTGTTGTCGCCTTTAGATGATAATGCCGCCCGCTGTCAGCTATGGAATTACACTCGCACACAGCCCACTCACTCACTATATATACCGATATTCCGATGTACATTAACGGATCTTAACCGATTGGCACGCGACGCTAAAAGCCTTTCGACTTGGCTTCCATCAATATTTTGGCATTCCAGGCATTTCGCCGTCGAATTCCTTGGCGACTTTTCTGTTTACACAATCCCCTTGACACGGCTCAAGAGTAAATCCAGTCACCCGGGTGATTCACGGGGATTTCCTGGAGACGAGAGCCACCTACGCGTGCCTTAAAAACGATATGAAAACAGATTGAAAGGTTGGCCAAAAATTGGTCTGGTCGAAAAGTCTGCCAACTGCCGCCGTTTGACGTCATCGGTTCCTCGGCACTTGCCAAAAAAAAAAATCTATCCACCTATCTATAGTCCGTCCAAAGGTGTGCTAGGCGGTATTTTGTGGCTGGGCGGGTTAGACTTTCGCAAGATTTAATGTGTGCTGGCGCTTTGCCCGCGATGTCGGGCCGCATTTCACGCTTCATTGGCGGGCGACGGTGACGTTGTCGCGTCTGCTTTGATTTTGATAAAATAGGCCAAAGTGCTCATCAATAATCATTTCTGTAAAGATCGGTGAGCGAAGCAATTATTTTTACAGCATTTACAAAGAGTCCGCAAACGGAACGCAGAAGATAAGTTGGACCATGGATAGCAATCCATTTTTATAAGCATCCTTCACACATCAAACTTTTCAATAAATTGATAAATTGGGCTAGTTTTTAAAAAATAGTTGTCCGTAAGGTCTGGGGAATAAACCAATCACGTGATTTTTTAGAAAACTTTTTATTGGTTTTCTCAAATTCAAGTTATAGAGTTTTTGTAAGCCGTAGGTATTATAACAACTATAGAAATGAAATGTAAATAAATGCAGTTTTTTTTTTTTGTGGAAAAAAAAATTGTTTCACCTATACTTCCTGACAAAAGGTAGGAAAATATATTCATTGATTAAGGACAAACTTAAAAAAAAAACATATATTCAAAGCAATAAGAAGTGATTTTATTCAAGTCATGGCTTTTATGATTCAATATACCAAATTATTTAAAATAGGCAGCAAAGGATTTTCCGCAAAAGACAAACCATTCTGTTGAACATGTTTAACTTTTCCAAAGATACATATTTCTTCGTACTTATTCTGACCGCAATTTTTAATTGTGCCCTATATTTATTTAATTTTAATTACTTGAATATAATCTCCATTTATCAAAGAAAAGCGCAAAAACGTGGCACAGCCACTAGAGTATACTCATATTTTATTCATTGGTAACCCACAAAGAAAACAACTGTAGCAATTCTATCCAAAAAATCGTGCAAAAAGCCAAGGAGACGCGGACGTGCCTCTTGGCAGCTACCACGCCCACTTTCCCAAAAGTGTTCCACTTTCTCAGGTTTATTCGGCGCCCACCTCGCTCCAAGATTCCCGAGAAGGCATAAATCAAGTGACTTTCACTTTTGCCTGTTCCGCCTTCGCCCATTTTATCTTATTTTGCTGTTGTTTTTGTCGAATATTAATTTTTTTTATCTGTATTATTATTGCGGGGATTTTGTCAAAATGAATTTTATAACACATGCTCAGTTTTATTTGATGAGGCATATCTATAGATACGAACGTGTACCGGTGACTACTTATCATGAATGTGAAGTGTGCCCGCTTTCTTCCTTTTCGGGAGGAATAAACTGTCGGGTTTATAGGACAGTATCCCCCGCATCGGGCAAGGTGCCCAGACAATCACAAATGCATTGGCAATTGCAGACAAGGGCTGCATAGTTTCCGGCACGCATATCGCTCGCTTTGTGCCATTATTATATTTCCAATTCCCGCAGCGGGAAAAGAGTCGACCAGACTCGCTGTCCAGACGGAAAAGTTCAACGCACTGATGGAATCATCGGGCTGGGGACCCAGTCATTGTTAAATGGCGATTGGCCATAACCAGACCAAGGAATCACAATCGGGCGACTCAACTATTTGCAATTCCCCAACCCCAAAGCACACCCACAGAACATCAAGCGCAGACATCCCGCTGACTCAGAAATGTGACCCCATCCCACGAGAACTGTCCACATTTTGTGGCGTCCCCATTTCGCGGCGAGAGAATTTACAATTTCAGCAGTGAGCACACCTTTTTTACAGTTTACACAGTGATAAATAAATCTACCTGAATGGGCATTCCTTCACTGCTCCAAAAAGGGGATGGTAAAAATAAATAAATAAATTGAATCCAAAAATTTGTTCTTCATATGTAAAGGAAATATTTAAATGAATATGTAAAGTACTGGATGTAAACCGTAAGTGTCTTTAACGCATCACGTTTAAGCCCAAAATTAAATTAAACATTTCAAATGCAATCAAATAAAATGTTGAAGAAAATCAAAGCCAAAAATATTAAACTTGAGAACAAAATGCTGGGATTTACTATTTGATTTCATATTCTTTTTTTTTTTTTAATTTACAAAATTATTTTATTGTTCTCTATTTTGATTTAATTGATATTTGTATAATTGGTCTGGTTCACAACAAAGTATTCGAATTAATTTGTAAACCGGCAAGAATTAAATAACTGAAATATTTATGATAGAATGGTTTTTCGCCAAGTGCAGATGGGAAATGTAAAATTCCACAGCTATCTGTGGGACCTGGAAAACTGCAAATAAGAATGAGGAAAAGTGAACCGCAAACGCTGCCCATTTTTGAGTGTCTTCGTTGTTTATGGTCCGCTGCGGTGGCCACTGTCAAGTGAACATCTTCCAACGCCCATTCTCGACACCCACATTTCACGGGCAGCAGAGCACCTCAACTCTGGAGGAATGCTTTCAACTTATTTCTTGGCACTGTCTTGTTATTGGGATCAAGTCAATATTTGTCGAGTGAAAATTACTTCCTGCCCTGAAATTCAGGCATTTCTTAAGTACGCTCATTCCCTTTTCATGCTCGCCACCTAGATGTTTGCATTCCGCTGCTGTCTTAATTTAAAAATTACAAATAATTGTTTGTACAACTTGATTCACGTGACCGAAAACGTTTTAATTAGGAACTGCTCTGAACTTTGTGCACAAGAATTTGTCATCTTGTAATGAAAAAAGTTTGTTTATCTTTCATGTTTTTACAATTGGATGCGTGATTGTTTATTTAATAAATGCTTTATGTTTTGCTTTATCTTTTTGTCCCGTACAATTAATTTACACTCTGAAGAGGAAAACTTTTTTTAAAGTGATTCTGTTCAATTTTTGATTATTACATAACTTATTCAGGAAATACACAACTAAGTATTAAATGACCTTTGTAACACCTTAGGAAAAAATACATTTTAGGATAAAGTTAGATAACTTATAGTACTAGTATTTTCATTAAATATATTAAATGTTTGTTTTTTGAAAAAGTACTTTAATGTGTAAATGGATTTAACTTATTTGCTTTTTAATTACTGAAGTGTATATTACATATTTAAATTTATAGTTTCCCCCAGTTATCCTACTTCATAGTTGTCACCAACCCACTTAAAAGTGTAACTTTGTTAACATTCAAACATAATGAATTTTGAAACCCGTGCTCTGTCCACTTTTTCGGACCACATGTCCGAGCACTCGGCCATTTTGGCCGGAATGAAATTAAACAGGAAACGCGGAGGGGGCGTGTTCGGCCCTTTGTCATGACAGTGTGGGTGGCCAACTTTACTGTTGTCCTTGTTGTTGGCGCGGCTGTTTGTTTGTTGTTTGCTTTTTGCCGTCGTGTTGGCCAAAAGCAAAGCGCCAGCGCCGAAATCGTGTCAAACGAAACTGGAAACTGGCGGGCGTTACACATGGCAACTTTAATGCGTGGAGCTGGGCAAACACAAATTCAAATGTGTACACAAAAAGTCAAGGACCCGAAAAGTTCTCAGATTTATTTGGTGCAACTCAAATGAGGCAGAGCAAACAGATGAGCTGATTGTTTACCCAATTTATAACCGGATTCAGAGGCCAAGAATACATCTCTAACTGGCCTGCATTTGGCCCAACCCTGAAACGAATTACATTTGCTCAGACCAATTTGCACTTGAGTTTTTCATGTTTTCATGTTTCATTGCGTAAAGATGTCAGCGAATCCATTAGATTCACGCAATTAGCGTCAACATAGAGTGCCATTAGCTGGAATTCATATTCGTTCTTGAGCGCGTGGACATGCCGGAAGTGCCGGCGACCTTTGATCCAATGATGATTGCCTAAAAGCCTGGCGGTCGCTTCCATTAAGGTTGTGGTTTCATGGCGAGCCTCCCGGTATCCTGCATCCTTGATCACAGTCACGCATAAGTTTGTCAAAGCATCATAATCAGCACCCAACCGCAGCAATTAGCTTGTGTGTTGGGACTTAATAGCCATGTAATTGGATATCGCTAAAGGTTTCCCATTGGAATGTTGGCTATCTTAAACTAGCAAAACATAACAACTAATTATAAATCCACAAAGAATATGTATTGGTTTGAGAAGTGTCATTTAATGAAAGCCAGACAATTTATTTGCAAGGCATTTTAAAATGCTTGATATGGCGGGATATGTAGAGCTTTCTTCGCTTATGCCAAGTTCGTGGCATGTGTTAAATGCATTTGCCAAACTCTGAGGACAGGCAAAAAAAGTACTGACCATGGCCAGGGAAACACCCTTTGGCCAGCATTTTTTCCTGGAACTATGGCATTGTGAATTCCACCGCCTCCAGTTCCATTCGTTGAGTTCTTAACCCGTCCATTGTGCCCATTGCAGCGGTTCTGCTGGCAGGATGAGTAGTAAGTGCGAGACGTGTCATCTGGTATGTTTCCATAAAGCATCTGTATTAAAGAGAATTTCCCTAGTATGATTATCTTGATAGAATGCAAACAAAAGTTGATATAAAATTTGCATATCTTTGATTTCAAAACTTTTGAAATAGTATATTTACCATGGAAATCGTTAAATGTATTATATTAAAAGAAAATTTACATGTGCTTTTATATGGAAATTATACTGCGCTCACTTACCACCGGTTTGTCCTGGCAGTCGCGCAGAAAGGACATCACCTTGCTCGAGTTGCGCTAAAATGGAAATAGAAATAGAAATGGAAATGGAAATGGGGAATTCACATTACAAATATCTGCGCGACTGATTAATGATACTCGCATCCACACCAATCATCACACTCGTCCACAAGGGCTTATTTGCGTTTCGTATCTGCGAATCGAATTTGCATTTGCCCTCGTTTCAGCGGGCAAAGTAATTAAAGCCCCAGAACCCCAAAAGGGGGACTGCAGCTATGCGGCATCGAAGCAATCTATGGCCCCGGAGCGAACGCGTAAACAAAGTTCACGCAAGGGACACATGGTGGATGTGGATAAAGTTTTAATTGCATTGCAGTTTGCCGGCAATTCGAATAACATAAGTTTCAATCCAAGCCCTGAGCTGGCCGACGGCGTCTTTGATCCCCCAAAATTCAATCAGTGAGTTCGGCCCGTCTAATGAGGCACTTGGAAATTTTGAAACCTCATCTGGTTGTATTAAAGCTAATGGAGGGGCGAAAAAGAGACGACAAAGTTGACTTTGTGGGGGTGTAAGCTGGCCTAAGCCTTCTAGCCACGGCATGGGACCCGGGCTATGTGAACTCGATGGGTGTCTCTGTATGTGGCGCTCTTTATACGCCTTTCTGGCTTTCCATTAAATTATGGTAATGGATTTTTTATGCACTTTGTTTTCGTTCCTTGTGCTTTTTTTACGCCTACTTTCTCTCCTACTTCGTGGGTCTTTTGATTTGAGCTGCTTACTGGTTAAATTAAAGCCAGACAAGCTTCGCCAATACCACGGGAATAATCAAGGAATGGTGCTTCATCAGCCGTCTGCATTTGATTGCTTCACACTCAAAAAAAAAAAGGATATATCCTCTTGGGATAAGTTTTTTGTTTTATGTATAAACGAGGATTGCTAACATTTTACAGAAACAAAATTCAGAAACTCTTACTTTCTTGAAAAGATAAATAAAACTTAGCTAAAAAAATAAAATTTGAAAGCCGTTTACATAAGTCTAGTATCAATATTTTATCCTGCTTTTGAAGCGTTGGATTTGTTTTGGTTATAATTTGTAGAGTTAAGGATCTGAAAAACCAACGTTGCCATTAAAAATTAAAATCACCACTTTTAGCTCTTTTCAGTCATTAAAGTGTTAAAGCTCGCATTGCTCATACGCCGCGTGTGCCGGCTGAAACTGCAGCTCTGGATTCAATTAGTCGAAGTAGAGTGCTGGCAGGATTTAATGGTTCCATATCATTCTGTTTTTATTTTTTTGCTTGTCCTTTACGTGAGAGTTGCTAATTTCAGAAAGGGGCGAAACTTTAGCTGTGGCAACATTTAGCCAAACAAAGTTGAGCGATGCATAAAAATCGGGCATTCCATGTGTTACTTTGTTGCCGCAACAGCTGCGCTGCGGCAGCTCGATTTCGGAGTATACTCTGTCTGCGTACGTGAAGAGTTAAACGCTCCGCAATTCCCGTTCGTCGGCGCTTGGAAACATTTGTGGCACGTTCCACGGGCGTTTTACGACCAGGGAGAAGTTTTTCCGACTTCCACTAAATTCCCACCCACATGGTAGGAGAAAAGTGTGTACTTTTTCTCAGTGCTTTTTACTCTACCAAAGGGCAGAAAACTTGTTAAATTTTTAATCACAATACAAATAAATATTTTTATTTCAAAACTATGAATGCAAATTTTGAGATTCCTTGCCATAGATCTCTGTGTGGATAATAATTTGAAATTTTTATAAAATCGTTGCCTATAATTTTGTATACTTTTCTTATATAACAAACTAAAAACGAAGTATTTGAACTTTTTGAGATATATGCCTTCAAGGACATACTAGTTTTCTTTAATTTTTTGTTTAACGAAATATGGAAATATTACCTTGGTAGATTTATTGGCTATTATATCTTTTGTCACGAGGTTCATATATAATGTATATCATTTACCCTACCTAGTTACAGATTACTCGCACTTACCTTAAGTTCGACGCGCATCGTGAAACAGTATTTCATGGTACAGTTTATTACTCTGACTGCACTGGCGTTGTTTAGGCAGGAGGTATCACTGTACCCATCCAAATAGGTGCACGCATAGCAATCGAGCGCTGCAAAATACACGATATAAGTATAATAGAGGATTGAACGAGGTCATGACGTTGCCTTTCGTTTTCGTTTCGTTGCTTTCGAATTTATATTTGATTTTGATGATCATCGTCATGATCGTGTTGTCGCTGTGCTTTTCTTAGAATTTATTAATATCCACCCCCCAGCAGTGGATGCAATAACAACAAACATTAGCGTCTATAAAAACACAATAATTAATTGAATTAAAGTGAGAATTCTGGCAGCAGACTTTCTGTCTATTTGCCAAGTGGCACGACAACGTCCTCGACATGTATCGCCGGCTATATGCGTATACGAAGCACATTCTATATTTGAATCAGCCTTTTGTGTAATAACAATGACGTCAATGGCCCCACTAGTGGCCACTATCGGCCCGAGATGTGTAAACGGATTGATGACACGAGACTTTTTGGCCGACCCTCGACAATGGTAGCCGTCAAAAGGCATTGAGATGGTGTGGATCGAAATCCTTAGCTCTTACGGCGAACACAGTTCTATTTATATTTCTGTTTCTAATTCTGTTGCGATTCTGCATTATGAGTTCTGCATAAAAGTTTAACCGCGGGGATTGTTCTTGGCACGCTTCGATGCGGTTCGCGGTATTTGAATGATAGAACATTGTATCACCTCGGCTGAACAGTCACAATGGGCTCAAATCGGGGAAAATATTCAAATAATTCTAATTCTGATATATAAATCAATGTAACATTTGCCAAACAAAATTTAAACTATTTGATATTTACTCTTATTAAACGTCATTCGAATTTGGGATTTATGCAATTAGTCATACAAATAAATTTTATGTGAGTAATACAAGTGACAATATTTGCCAACTGGCAAAACTATTTAAAATTATTTTTTTTTAAGATTATCGAATAGAAATAACAAAAGAAGATTTTATGTTAAGGTCAAAATGAGAAAAAACTTTTCAGTGATGTATCTCGCTGACAATTAAATAATTTTTTTAAATTTATGTGTCTTTGAAAAGCAACTTTTTGAGGGATGAGGGCTTTTCCAGAAGTATGAAGTTTCAATTGTAAAAATAACCATTGAGCCTGAGCCTCAGTTCGCTGCCCTCCAAGGTTTGGCTTTTAACACCTCCCATTCCACTGTGGCTGGAATAGCTCGTAGTTGGGGGCACTTGGAGATCTCTGAAAAAATGATTTGTATCATCTTTTGTGAGGCAATCAATAAATTTGAATGCGGTCACAGGCGAGTGACGTCGACAGCTGAACTCAACAAAATAGAACGAAATGAAGCGAGCAAAGCCGAACAGAAGTGTAAGAATAGAACGAAAGGCACACAGTTCTGTGAATCAAATGAGGGTCTATGTCCATGTCGAGAAAAATGAGGGAAAATGAGTGCCAAGAACATTTCAAATTCACCTGATTTTTCTCGCTAAATTTTCGTTGAGTTATGAGTCGTAGAACGGCAATTTCGCAATAAAACAGCTAATTAAGTTAAACGGAAAACGACCCGCTAAGCGAGCACTCAGCGCCACTCAGTGGGTTAGGTTAGGATTTGGTTGGTTAAGTGGTTGGGTGGTTAAAAAATTCCATGTAAATACCGTTCGAGAGGGCTGCTGACATTAAGGCGACACATAGTCCCGTGAAAAGTACGGATTTTGACAGTCCGAGCGGCAGCTTCATGGCGCTGACTTCTATTGCGAATTCCGCTCTGACAGCTGCGAACGCCAATCCGGAATTCGAAATCCGGAATCGTTGGCTTCAATGGCTGGCACTTGACTGACTGACTGACTGACTGACTGAGGCTCGATATCCGTTCCTGGTGATTGGTGTCTGACACATGGTAAACAACGTGCGATACGCAAGTACCTTATCGGTATCAACAACACGAGAATGCAACTATATTTGAGCTGTAATTAATGAAAAACACTTCACTTTTTCTTGTTTGCAGCCCGACCGCTATGTCCCCGGCTCCCCCATCTTCCGCGACACCAGCAGCCCAACGCCCCACGCCGCCCTCGCGAGGCCTATAACATCACCGCCCGTCTCAGCCTCCCCCTGCACCGCCGCCGCCTCTTCCGCCAGCACCACCGCCAGTAGCACCGCCTGCAGCACCACCGCACCAGGAGCAGGAGGATCAACGGCGACCAGGAGCCGAGGAGTCAGAGGTATAACTATTTAAATTATTTTCTTTCAATAACATTCTTTAAAATACAAAGGGCAAGGTCAAGAATCACATTGCTCTTATAAAACTCGAATAGCTTTAATTTTGATTAACTATAGCTAAAAAATTCTTAATTTTTGTTATAATAATAACATAAATGTTTTTATTTTAAAAAGTTATGTTTGTATTTGAAAAAAAATTGTGTCTTTTTGGAAGACGAAAGCACAAACTATATTTGAAATGTTTAACATCGTAAATAATTTGAAAAATTATTTTCAACAAACCACTTGCACTTCTTAAAGTTAGTATATGTATAAATGCAAAACAGCTTACTTTTCCTTTGCAAGGTATAAGTTCAAATTATATAATTATTTTGGAGAACTCTTTTTGTAATAGAGTAATATGGAATTTATAAGAACATATTTTCATGAGTTTTCTTTTCTGTTTTTAAAATAGTTTTATTTCCAAATTATATTTATTTTTTAACATTATTTCCGAATTCGAGAACAATTTCTTAAGCTCAAACAGATTTTTTTTTGTGTAGATTAAGATTTGTGGCCTGATGGCTGATAGTTGACACAGTTTTCGCGACATTTGTGTAAATAATGTACAATGGAAACATGCAAATGGCCCTGCCCGTATAATTTCCGGCCCTGTCAAACTTTGCGCGAATTCTGGGCCACAGTCTTCGTCGGAGTCGACCTCTTTTTTGCGCCTCGGGTTCCCTGACCTCCGTCGACTGTCCCCCATCGTGTGGACTAACTGGGCACGGGGCAACCTTATGGGGAATCTCTTTGAGTGCGCTTGGATAAACAATCACAATTAGGGGAGTGGGTGGGCGGGCAGACGGCCAGAAGACCGGGACATTCTGTCGTCCACACAATTAATTGTGGAATGGAATTCGATTATTTGATGATTATTATCTCAGCGCTGTTTGATTGTGTGCTTTGTTTTTCCACGAAAAGTTTGCCCTGTTTACGTGCGAAAATCTCTTACCCACTCCGCATTTGCGGTTAGGGAAAATCCCCGGGGACATGCCACTCTCCGCCAGGGAAAAGCTACCCGCCAGTTATCCCCTCTTGGGGTTGAGTCACTTAATGGCGCAACATGTGAGGTGCCCGTGTCACGCTATAGTCCATCGATTTTATTTGTTGATTTAGCAGGAGACCACCGATTTTGGTCAGGAGGTGGAGTGGCATGCTTCTGGCAAAATCAAGCGGGTCGGTTGCCTTTCAACTGCATGTCATAGCAATATTTGAAGAATTCTTAGTATTAGTTTTCACTGAATACAGAAGAAATTGCATTTTCAACTCATGCAAACAATTCTTGGTATTAGTTTTAATTGAAAATTGATCAACTTTATTTATCAATAATTTAAAATTCTCACAAAAAGCTTTGGGTTTATATACATACACCAGCATTTATTCATAGAATTCATAGTAAGAGCGACCACCACAAAATGAGAAAACTGCATTAAAGGTGTTTGATTCCGGATATTTTAGGCCACTTTTGTACACTTGTCGGTGATGAGTTCATACAGTAAATGCCAACAATTTTTAGAAAGTAACTTTTTTGTTGTGAAACTACCCTATTCTAAGCAACCATAATTAAAAACCGCAGGCTCCAAAGAGCCACAGGAAACCGCAACTGTGTTTGAATGTAAATAAACGACTTTTCTTTGGTTTTTGGCTTTTCATATCCCGCAGCCATGACGGCATCTCTTGCTCATGCCGCTCAGGGTAACCACAACAACAATAGCAGCAACCGAACCAACTCCAACTCCGGAAAGTCAAAGCCACCGGCTGGATATATGAGCACCCGATCGGCGGCGATGATGGCCTTGGCTTTGGGTCAACCATCGGGCAGCAGAAGCGACAAGTCACCGCCCGCTCCTCGATCCGCTTCACCTGCCCAACCACAGACCGCATCCCAATCCCAGTCGCAGTCTCCGCATCCCGGTGCCAGAAGGCTTTCGAATGCCTCGTCTCTACCCGGCAATGTATCGAGATCGAAGCCATCCACTCCTACGGCAACTAGGGCTGCTGCCCAACTTAATGGTTCCAGTGTCTTCTCCGGTGGCAGCAACTCCAGTGGGTCTGATAACGACGGCTTCAGTACGTCTGGCTCATCCGCAGCCACAGCTCTCCGAAGGCTCTACTTTAAAAGCGGACGAAGCATCAAGAACAAAATCAACGCCTCCACAACTTCTGCGACTCCTCTGAACGGACTACCCTTAAATCCAGTGTCCAGTGCCTATCACAACTCCGTGGCTGGACCCATGCACAATATGACGACCGCAGGTGGAGTGCCGAAGGTAAGTAAATGTATAATGTAATTTATTTGAAATAAAAATGCAGTCCACCTTTTAAAACTCAAACTAGTCTTTGAGTTATAGAGTTGATTTTACCTAGCTTAGCTTAAAGGAGTTTTTGTACGGAAAGTTCAAGTATTGGAACTATCTTAATCTTTAAACATTTTGTTTAATCTTAGTAGTAACATTTCTTTTGATATTAAAGAAAATTTACTTTGAAGAGTGTCAATAATTTAAATTTCAAATATTTAATTTTTGGGTTAATCTCTTTGTTCTTTTAATTTTTTGTTGGTTATTGCTCTGGCTATTGTCAGTTCTGATTTCTTTTGTAACAATTGTAGTTAACAGAATTAGCAAATTACAATCTGTTTTAGCCCTATATAATTGATTTTAAGAGCACTTAAGTACTTAAAATGTATTTTTAAGGCGGTCATTTCTCTTGCCCAAATAGACAGATCTTAATTAATAATGTCTTTTTTTGCAGCTGGTGGTCATGGGAACCTCGTCGGCTTCTATTCCGGACACCACCATCAATACGTCCACGGACTCGGCCTGCACGCTCATCACGAATGTGACCCACACGGATACCTCCGAGACGTGCGACTCCCTGGACCTGGGTAAGAATTGATTGCTTGATTGATGTGCTCGCGGAGCCGCATTAATTAATCAACTAATCAATCTGGCCCGCACTTTCTGCTATTCCTTGTTTCGTTGCTCCTTCAGGTGACAACTCGGGTCCCAGCGAGCCGCTTTTCAGTTCGCTGGAGGAGCCGCTCCTCACCGCCGTCCACATCGATTCGGAGCACGAGGGATTCGGAGGCATATGTGGGGGAGGAGTAGGAGGCGGAGGCGGAGGTGCCAATGGACGCGGAGCCACTGAGCTGGAACTAACGAGCTGTTCGAGGTATCCGCCCAAGCCCGACATGAATCTGCAGGACAGCGTCGAGGTACGAAACGAAACTAAAATCCGGATTAAATCCGCTTGGCCAGCAATCACGTCCGACACTGAATCATGTGATTATTGACAATTCGCATTGTCCTCTGAATTTGCTGAAGAGAGCTTGAAATGGGGCTTTATTGCTTTTCAAAGCCCCAAATCCTCCTTATTCTTATGGCCATGGCCATGGTTTTCGTTCTGCTTCAAGTACCTCCAAACTGTAAATAAAAAATAAGGCCCTTGTCACAACTTGGGTTGTTATGGTAATGAATAAAAGCCAAAAACGACTTCCAAAATATATATTTGATTTAAATAACATTTATATATATATGTATAGTTAAATAAAAGGAAACTTAACGTTTTCTAAAATCCCAAAATATAGTTAAAGTAAAATTAATTCTTTGTTTAACTTTTGTATTTATATAAACAGACTACTGACCTTCTTCAATAGCGCAATTAAAAAGTTTTCTAAATAAAACGAACAAAAAGTTGCATGCAATAATAAAGGTTTTTTTTGCACTCACTGGGGAGTGACCACGAGTATGATAGGACTAGCTAGATTCGTCTATTTTTACATTGTTTGAATGTTTATTTAAGCTTTTGAATGTTAGAAACAGACATCCTGTGAATAAGGATAACTACTAAGCAAATAAATCAAATTTTTTCCCGCTTTCGACGTGAATTTCCCCTTAAGGCAATATATAAAACTAATGGTGCAACTACAATTTCCAACACTTTACTCCTTTTCCTTGCAGAGCTATGCTTAAAGCTGCAATTAGTTTTGTTATTTATTTATTTATTATTTGAGGAAAACATTAGCCTTATGGTGCAACCCATAAATTGTTACTATATTTTCTTTTATTTCACCCTTTTGCGTTGCAGAGCCAGGAGTCCTGTTTATCCATCCTGAACGGCGAGCCGTCTTCCACCACTCCACTGCTCTCCTCGCAGCGGCGCCACACGGCGGGCGGTCACTCGCCGGGCAGCCATCGGGAGGAACGGCGGGAGCGGAGGGAGCGGGAGCCCAGCACGGCTCCACCGCCCACTCGAGCCCGAGAGCACTTCACCTTCGATCCCCCGCAGTCACCGAAGTCGGCGCGCAGCAGCGAGAAGTCCGCCAGCCACTTTCCCTTCAAGAGCTATGGTAATGAGATGGGAAAGGACGCGGGGGTGGTCATGGGAGCGGCAGGATCTGGAGCAGGAGGAGGAGGAGGACCTGGAACCGGGGTTGGGGGCAATGGCATGGTGGCCGCCAGCGAGGGCGACGAGGAGGATGACGAGCGCAGCGGCGAGAGCGTCGGAAATCGCAGCAAGAAGCTGCGACCCCGGGAGCGGGACCCCAATCACATCTCGCCCAGCGTTTCGCCGTCGCACAGTC